TGCTGAAGAGATAGTACATCATCACAGGCTTGTGAGCAAATGAAATGCTCTTCATCCTTGACAGAAAGATTCATCTGTGAGCAGGAGCTGCTTCCATCTGGGTCACACTGGTGACAGTGGGCATGTCTACATGAGATGCTTTATGTCATATTGAATGAAATAGTTTGAATGTTTGTAAAGGTTGCCCATTAGCCAGTTTCAGGAAGAAGATAAGATTTATCTCCTTATCTAGATCATTGTTTTGGGACTACGTGCAAAAGGTCCTGACTTTGCTTTTGAATTTTATCTTTAGAAGTCTTTTACAAAGAGAGCAAATATCCTGAGTTCTGAGAGATCAAACCCTACGGCCTTTTGGAAAGATTGGTAAGAAAATGGCACTTGCAGTGATATGGAAGTTCCCCAAGAGTAATTTAAAATGCTCAACAAAGGAAACTAATTACTAAGCAAAAGAATCTGTTGAGTAAGATCCGAGCCCAAATTTGGGGGTAATGACAGGTTTGAGTAGGAGGAGCCCATTGACGGCAGCTCACTCAATAAAAACTGTAACTTACTGTCCCAATTTGGAGGTGACTATACTTGCAGAACAACGAAGGAAGAATCGCAAGTGTAGGCCGGATCAGATTGATCACCTGAACCACCCTCTCCGTGAACACGAATCTCTTAGTTCACGCTGAAGCTGCAGAACGCCCGAAAGGGACTGAAAGAAGGGGACTTATTCCTATCAGTATTGAGGCCAGCCTATTGAATTGTATTGCTGAGGTGAGCCCATTGAACCGTACTACTGAGGCCAACCCATTAAATTGTACTACTGAGGAATGAAACCATATTTTGGTATTTGGCTTCTCGGAATTCTAGGATTGTAAGTATATTATGAAAATAACAGTATTGATTCAAATTTAACTTTTAGTTGTAATTGTAGTTGTTTTTGTAACTAATTCTTATAGCATTGTTTCAGAAGGAAGTGCATTTGGAGCATTGTTTCTGATATATGTAATTATTGTGTTTTTAATGTTTGTGGTGTTTCTTAAAGCTAAGCAGTGTTATATATGTAGCAAAGAATTTTAAAATAAAATTGTGTTGTATGAATTAAGTGTGTAATCATTGTGAAATCGTGCAATCAGCTAACTACTCCCCCAGCCAGTGCATCAAAACGAATCAGTAAATTGTGTGGGATTTTCTCTATTCCATAACCCACTAGAGACACTTTACTGTGCGGTAGATTAATATACTGCATAGTAAGGCATCATCATGTAATTGTGTGCAACAGCTACTGCACAGTAATTTAAGCTAATGTGCCATTTTCTACTACCTGTTGAGACTCCCCTGTCCCTTGTGGCCCCCTGCTAGTGTAGCTGACCAGGAGCAAGTCAGTTTTGGTACTGCACAGTAGCTAGTGCCTGGCGCTGTTCTTGTGGGGCAGCTGGCAGCGAGTCCCTGGCTGGGGAGGAATTCCCTATCCAGCAGGGGCCTGGCCAGAACTGTCCCACTTGTGGAGCTGTCCTCTGGAATCCCTCCCCAGCTGGGGTTTCACCGACAGCTGTATGTCACGATGTACATGGGGCCAGGAGAGCTTTGCCAGCTGTACCAGCAGCTGTCTCCTGGCCCCGTGCATGCTGGGTGGGGTCCCCCATGCACATGAAGACCCCTCACGCTGTGCACGGGGCCAGGAGACTGCTGCAGCTGACAGAGCTCTGCTGGCCCTGTGCACATTGGGACCTGCCCCATGCCCAATGCCAACCCTCAGGGTAGCGCCCTGGGGGAGCCTGGACCTCCCCCTGGCTGCTGTAGTTAGGGCAGAGCAGGGCAGGAGCAGCTCTGAACCATGGTGCTCCTGTCGGGGGAAGGCTTACTGTGCAGTATTTTACTATGATATAGGATTTACTGTGCAGTAAGTCTATATTGCATTAATAGCCTGTGTAGATGCCCCCAGTGAGATTTTTTTCAAGTGCTTAAATGGCGTGGAGGTACCCAACCGCCATGGAAAGTCAATGAAACTTAGCACCCAGCTTTCTTCCCAGCTTCCTGAAAATCACCCTGCAAGACCAGAAGCTAGAGTCTCATTTTTTGTGTAAAAGCTCATGGGGCTGCCAGCCAGAAATGATGATGCATTCTCTTGGATCAGAGTCACCTACTATATGCACCAAGCACAAAGCCACCTCTTAGTCATATCACAATAATTAATCAAGATGCAACTCAGGAAGGTTTCATGAGAAGCACAATTAAGAGAGGCATGAGAAACCACTTAGCCTCTAAGGCCTCATCCACGTGAGCAGGTGTATGCATTTGCAGCAGCACAAATAGTAGCAATGCAAGTTTGTGCATACCCTTACCCATGAGTTTTGCAGTGAGACACAATGTCCCATTGCTCCATGTGCTGCAGTGGAGGCTGGCTGGGGCACTGGGTAGCCAGCCCGCAAGCCCCGCACTGATGCACCGTGTGCCCCAGGCAGCTGGGAGCAGCACTTGGAGTAGGCAGTCCAGGGCTGCCTGCTTTCCTGTTTCTGCGCACTGCAGAGCTCCCATGCTGAGGCACCCTGCACCCAAACCAGGTGCTTCCTGGATGGCTGGAGCACAGTGTGCCTGGAGATGGGGGAGCAGGTAGCCCTGTGGCTGCATTGTGGAGCCCCCACACTGAGGCATATGGAGACAGGGAAGCAGGCAGTCCTGAGCTGGCTGCTCCCCTGACTCACAAGGCACACTGTGCCCCAGCCAGTTTCTCTGCAGCTGGCTGGGGCACAGCGTGCCTCAGTGCAGGGACTCCACATGCCTCAGTGTGGGGACTCCTCATCAGAGCCCCTGCGCTGAGGCATGTGGAGATAGGGGAGCCCTGAGCTGCCTACTCCCCTATGTCCATGTTTCCCCCAGAACACACCACTTTGGCATGCTTTGCACTGCTTTTTTTCAGGGGTTTTTTTTTTGCTACCGAGAAATCCCAGTAGCAAATTTTGCCCTGGCACTGCAAATTAGCAGGGCTGCGTACAGTTAACATATAATGCATGCAATTTATGGTGCTGCAAAGAGGTTCGAGGCACCACAAACTGCACATGCCTGCATGTCTGGATCCAGCCTAAGGTGCCACCTTGCACTGCCTTCTATGGGAGGTTGGAAATGGGGCGGGAGGGGGGGTAGGGAAGGGCAGTAATTATGCAGTATACACAAATAAAGATAATACATTGCACTCTTACCCTACCCCAAACAGCCTTGAGAAACATCTGAAGGATACCTGGTTTGTGAAGTTTCTCAGCCCCAGGGATCACCCTGCTCCCATTTCTTCTCTGCATTGCGTTCTGCATTTAATGCACTGTGTAAAGCTCTACACTGTATTAACATAATCCCAAACTGGAAGTGTCTTAGTAGGAGTGACCCACACACTCCTTTCTCTTACCAGTCATTACTACAGAGAACCAGGATTGTCAGGACAGTGCAGGCTACTGTGCTAGTGTGTTCCAAAGTCGAAACCCATCCTTTTCCTCAGCAACATCCTCTCTTCCTCTAAGAACTTCACCCTTTACAACTAGACCAAGTACCAAATCTGACAGAAGGCTTGTTTTCTCTTTCCAGTTGCGTTTCAAACTCCAGTTACCTTGCTCTTGGCTTCTCTCCTGGATTCTGCCCTTTTCTTCTCTCTTCCCACAAGCAAGGCTTCCAGCAGGAGTTCACCTGAGGGGAAGGTACATGAGCAGAAGCACTTACATCCAA